TTTTTCTTTACTTGAATCCCTAGATCTGTGAAGTTCCACAGTCCTGAGAAAGGGTCTTCACACGCATCATGCAACTCCTTTCTGCATAGCACTTTCCTCAATCATGGGCAGATAGTTTTTTCTCATTACAAAATACATGTACTTAGGTAGTTTTTTCTCATTACAAAATACATGTACTTACACAGTGCTTTCCCCAACTGTGAACACAGTTTCGTTAGAGACCAGTACCTCTGCCAGTGTTGGGAAATTACAATGTACTGGTCTGTCCCTGAAGAAATTGGTGGTGGGACCCAGCAGGGTCAGCAAATCCCATAAATCTTAGTTTTCTTTTGCCTGCGAGTGAAAGAAAAAGGGAAAAAAAAAGCTTACGTACTGCAATGATGTTAGGCAGGGTAGTCTAGGAGGCCGTGCTCACAGTCTTCCTCTACAGAATGCATCCTACAGCAAAGACGATCACATTCTGAAACTTGTTGCTTTCGTTTTTCACTTCTCGTTTGTTTATTACGAGTCCCCTGCCAACGAGGCAGGGTGGAATACGTGATCTGCGCTGGCTGTGTTTCCTCAGAGGATTGTAACCCTGATGTATCCAGCCATTTTCACGGCCGAATGCGTGTTTCCGTTTTTTTTTTTTTTTTTTTTTTTTTTTCTGTTTCTGGAATCTGACAATCTGAATAGTTGATCTGCTCGGGCTGTGTTCCTTCAGAGGATTTTAACCCTCATCACACTGTCACTTAGAGGAACGTATCCAGCCATTTTCACGGCCGAATGCGTGTTTCCGTTTTTTTTGTTGTTGTGTTTCTCTAGCAATCTGAATCCATGATCTGCTCTAGTTGTGTTTGTAACCCCTGTCTCTTATACACATCTAGATGTGTATAAGAGACAGGTTCTGATCACACTGGCACTTGAAGTATCCAGCATTTTCACGGCCGAATGCGTGTTTCCGTTTCTTTTTTTTTTTTTTTTTTGTTTTTGGAATCTGATCCCTCAGAGGATTGTAACCCTCATCACACTGGCACTTAGAGGAACGTATCCATCCATTTCCATGGCCTGTCTCTTATACACATCTAGATGTGTATAAGAGACAGCGGTAAATTAAGGAACGAGGTTATCAACCTCGAATGGGAACTGTCGAAGGACGACAGCCCGGAGAAGGAAAAGGAAGAATTGAAGAAGAGGCTTGNGTTTTTGGAATCTGGCAACCTGGCCACGGGGCTGAGATGCTCTCACTGAGAGCACACTCACACTACCACTTCCAAGATCTTTTCTTGTGAGTTTCACGGCCGCAACTTTTTTTTTTTTCCTTTCCTTTTCTTTTTTTTTCCCGTGCGAGTACCGTAAAGAAATGAGAGTGGGACCCAGGCTCGGCAAAAACTCGGAGCGCAGTGAAATTCAGGGTCGACAAAACCAGGCTCGGAGGTACTGGTGGTTTAATGCAAGGTGTCTTCTTTGCGCATCAAGTCACATAATTTTTCGATAGCATACATACAGCATACAAAGTATCAACCGTCAAATTTGGAAATCGATTCGCATTTTCAATCAAAAGTGACAAAACTTAAGTAAATCGAGTCAGATTTTCAATCGTCCTTTGTATTCAAAGTAGCAATCATGGGACTTGAAAATCGATTCAGATTTTCAGTCATCCAGTTTGAAAACTGATCCAGCTTTGGAGCAGGTTGCAAATTCATAGTTGATGATTGAATTGCGGTCAGATTTGCCAGAGCGATCAATTTCCAGTGTGAGTATGGCGTAAGGGCATCCTCCAGCCAGGACTTTCGGATATGAATACGAGAGCAATTACGAACACGTCTCAATGTATCTGACGGCAAGTTACGTCCACAACTAAGTCAAAAAGTCCTAGTGTGAGTGTGAGTTCTGCCTAAGTCTCTTAGGTTCGAAACTGGATACAGATTTCGATGAGCGTTCAAAAGCATAGAGATCCAATTCCTGCGAGGGTCATTAAGACTCGGACCTCAAACGCACAGTGTGCTTAGAACGACAAAAAAAGAGATTACGAGTATGGGCAGGAAGTGGAGACTTCTTGGGCATGCCAACAGTGGTAGGGGGGGAACTCAACAGCTACCGTCGGATTTCATTTTGCATCGTTAATGCCATATTTTTCTTTTTTCCTATTAAACAAACACTTGACCTGAAAAAGTCAGCATCAACTCTATGTGGGGGATTTTTCTGAAACCATCACAAGCGAATCAGCAGATGGGAAGGAGTCTAAATTTCTCTAAATCAAACAGACTTTAGTTACCTTCCAGAGGCGAACACTAAGTTCTATATATATAACCAATATTGCATTCGTCAGAGGCCGGACACCAGCCGCCCAAAATAGTTTGCGGCACCAGTCAAAACCAAAAAAAAGGGTGTGCTGACGCTTTGGTGGCAAAGCTCGCCATACAGATCATTTCCGCCTTGGGCAAAAAGTGCCTCGGAGGTGGTCGTGGTTTACAAACTCTTTTTTGGACACAATTCTGAGCACAAACACTGCTTGTTTGTTTGTTTGTTTGTTTTTTAGTTTTTTTTTTGTTTTGTTTTGTTTTGAGCACAAACAATGTCAAATTCAGACCACTCAACTCCACCAACTGTGCAGGGAACAGTAGATCCCCTGGGAGTGCCCTGCAACGCTCGTCACTCATGGGAGTGCGCCATTTTCTGGCCGTCGGGGGTAGTGGTAGTTTTATGCCTCTTCCACTGACTTCCAGGACACCATTTGGATAAACCACAACTGCTCCTGATGTTGTTTTAGCAAACCTGGACCTCTTTCCTTGGCCGAGTACACCATGAAGAAAGCTTTCTAGTTTTCGGCCCGCGTGCTCGGACTCGATGAAAGGGGCCTTCTTTCGTGGAAAAAGAAAAAGAGTACAAACTTACAAAGCTTTCTAGTTTTCGGCCCCTTTCATTGAGTCCGTGCACGCTTGACCACAATCACAATCTTTTGGGCTGAGCGCATTGGACAAAAGCAATGCGGGTGGGTAAACAAACATTGAGCAACAGAGAGGAAAAATGCGTTCTTTCGCTGTCCAAAATTTTTACATTGCCATGAAGAAGAGATCAGCACTCAATCTACGCTCCTGATTTCTTTCCATGTTTTTTCATCAATTATTATTACGAACACATAAAGCAGCGAAAGTCGGCCGACTCGGATGACTCCACATTTTGCCAAAAACCGATGACCGCCCGTGGCCACCCTACAGCCGCTAACGGGCGTAACGTTCAGGATGCTTCCAAAAAAACAAGGATTTGCTAGAAAAAAAAAGAGACGATCTTCATAAATTAGCTGAATCAAATCATAGCTTTTCTCATTATCGTTGGTGCTAAAAATGTACGGATAAAAAAGAAAAAGAAAAAGAAAAAGAAAAAAAGAATGTACATATAGAAATCACCACCAACCAAGCCCGAGTACGCGCAGCCTTTTTGGCATTTTCGGGGTGTCCAGGGCAGTCGTGGTCTCAGGTCCAGGTTCGCAAAGAGAGAACCCCAAACACATCATTTCGCCGATATCTGTTGGGAAGAGGGTAATGAAAGACGTCGACTGAGCGCAAACCGTTCGGTGAAGGAAACGTGCTCACAGTTTCAAATGTTTCAATGATTCTCTGATTATACATCTGACTGAGTCTGATTTGACCATTTTGAGAAAAGTTCAGGGTCTCTCTAATTTTATTGATATGTTTTGCCCAACAGTCCTGAAGGGCTCACACACAGTTTCACTCATGAGCGGTCAGTGCCTAAGGAGCTACCTGAAACCAGCTTTGGGTCAGACAACTTATAGATTTAACCCAAAGCTGAGTATCTTCCCGTGGGCTATGTATGATACATGAGAGATCTCAGATTTGGTGTGGTTAATATTTAACCACCAAAACAGATTCAGTGGTTAATATTTGGTGGATGGCACTCAAACAAACTTCAGAAACTTAAACAACAAAGTCATTTTTATTCATTTTTTTTTTTACTAGTAAATATTTGGAAGTCATTTGTATTCATTTTTACTTGTAAATATTTGGAAGTCATTTTTATTCATTTTTACTTGTAAATATTTGGATTAGATTTACTGAAAGGCGAATACTTGCAAGCAATTTGAAGGTGAAAAGAAACTTGTAAAAATATTTGACCTGTGAGATTTTTCGGTTCATATTTCCGTTTGGGTTTTTTTGGTACCATATTTGAGTTTGACGATCAGTAAATTCAGTACAGCTATGCTGATAAATATTTAATATTTGCTTTTACAACCCTCGTAAGCACTAAAGAGCTTTTTATTTTTTATTTTTTTTAAACAGTCAAATGTGATTTTTGCTAGACATCCCTGCTACAAAGTTTTACACATAAAAAAACATCTGGCTTGAGGATCCTGACTAGCACACCACATCTGCAATGACAGCTAAATGTGAGTTCCTGGCTGCAAAGCTCCACTCACTCCCAGTTCAAAGTTGTGCCTGATTCCCCTCATGGACTAAATAAACACAATCACGGCTGCACTTTGTCTCTCTAGCATGCCCCCATGTCAGACAAAACTGCGGCACACATCAAGTACTTCTACGATGAAAACGATTGTGCCCCCCCCACAGCGAGTGAGTGCTTGTCCGTGCTCGCACAAGCCACGCGCACGCACGAGCAAGAGCGAGCACGCGCAAGGCAGATAGATATATATATGGAGAGAGAGAGAGAGAGAGAGAGAGAGAGAGAGAGAGAGAGAGAGAGAGAGAGAGAGAGAGAGAGAGAGACTTTTGCTAGCCTAGTCAGTGCTTCTTTTTCCTTCTCCTTTTGAGATTACTTGAAATGGATCGCGTAGTTGAGACCGCACCTGCATGATCCCCAGGGTGAGATCCCACTTGGATGGATTGAGAGACCGTGGCCGCCGATGTTCATTATCTATGGACAGCATCTCTCTCAATCCATTCAAGTGGAACCTCGGACACGGAGCCTACAGAATGAGACATAAAAGCACTTTAAGGTTGTTCATCAACAAAGGACTGAATCCCTCGCTTATAGCGCCAGGACCCCACTGATTCCTTTTCCATGCTTGGAAAGCATGAATCTATAGTTCGCATGAACATTGCACCATCATCATGGCTCTGGCCCTTTCAATGACTCTCTGCTACCTTCTTGCCCTGAACAAAGTGCCCAATCATCATGAATGTATATCAGGCAAGCCGGCGTCTGAATGTGGTCGGTCATACTTACCAGATGCTGCTGATCGCGCAGTGTATATGACCCACAATGTTCATTAGATGCAGTCATAATGACCAGGCCTTGTGTACGGCAGAAGAAGGTAGTATATTCATCTTTGCACAGCATCATCATCGCGATAAGGCCGTACAGTAACACAGATGGAGATCAGAGTCCTCTTCTATTAACAGAAGAGACAATTTTTCTCTTTCTCTAGAAGAAAAGAAAAACAAACCGTATCCCTCCTCTCAAATTCACTTTTCGCGAGCTAGCTAGCTACCTACCTACCTACGACTCCTAAAAGGCTATACAGAGGACCCCTGCACCTATAGCTCCCTCTCACATTGAAGGGGGTGTGTGTTGCCCCCTCCCCTATCGGTGGTGGACAGGGAGTAGGGTGGGGTTGCTGATGGGGGTCTGGCTAACACAACGGCCGAGCATTTTGCCAGTGGCTGCGGCCCCCCTTTTCTATTTCCCCCACCCCCATTCAGTAACGGCAGGGTCTATGGCCAGCGCTTTCCCACACTCCACAAACAAATCGGCCTCAACATACTGCCACTTGGCCGATGTAGAAAGTGGGAAGCATAACCAATGAGTGGGACTGCAAGCATAACCAATGAGTGGGACTGCTGAGTGGGGCCAGAGAGTGGGACTGCTGAGTGGGACCAGTGAGTGGGACTGCTGAGTGGGGGCAGCTGAGTGGAACTGCTGTGTCAGTGGTACTGCTGAGCGGGATGGCTAGTGGGACCGCTGAGTGGGACTGACCTTAACACATGATGCATCTTTGGGTGAGACTGCTGCTGAAAAGCACAGGATTCACCGCTGAGCGGCTTCACACACACAGCATCAAGGAAGGAACCACACAGACTGCAAAGATTGCTTCCTGCAAACTTCAAAAAAAAAGGGGGTTCGCACACGTCGATCTTATCTTGTGCTGCTCTTCTTCTTCTGGGAATTCGCACACGTGTATCCGATCTTTTGCTATTCTCCTTTTCCACAAACAATGGAGCCTTTCCAGACAATGCACGCCCAATTCTCCGCACAGCATCAAAAAGGTTTGATCAACTTTGATACAAAAGCACCGAAGCAGACAAGATGGAACAAAGCCTTTGTCCAGGGAGTTCAGGCGTGCGATAGCGCCTCTCTACCCTCATCTGTTTTCCAACTACCACCATCCCGTCCCCGCTCCCAACACTACCACCGCCACGATAAACGTAGGAGGGGGAAAGCAGTGACAGAGGTCATGTACACATGAACGAGCGCGGCTCGGGAGATGAATTTCCACTTGCGCGGACCAACCCTGCACAGACCACACACCATTCTCAGGATTCATACTAATTTTGAAGTGCGACCTCGATAAAAGATTGAACATTGATGAACAATGCAAATTCAAAGACCCTGAGCACTGAATGGTCTTACATAGGACAAGCACATGCTACGAAGCAGATTCACTGTGCACATGATATATCGCAATTGCGTCATCCTTCTTACCGCGCCCGTCCCCTCCCCCGCTCGCCCCCC